CAGGGGTCAATACTATTGCAAATGTAGTCTTTGGAACAGAGCCCCCCATTTCTCTAGGTGTTCTTACTAAGGCATTCCAAGTTGACAAGAAAGTCATTGACGCTCTTGAGGCACAGTTTTCTTGAGACAACTCGAAAGGATCCATGGATTTGTCCTAAATTCTACTAGCATGACTTTTGTGCCATGTATGCACAGGGCATTGCAAAGATTGATATGATAATATCATAAAACTGTATTATATGTGTGAGCATAAAGTGATATATTATTAAATAAGTTCTCCTTTTTAGTTCAAGTTATTTTTGTTGAAACGGAAGAAAAAATGAAGATGACAGCTTTAGAAATGTTTAATTTGGCGAATTGCCGAATTCTTGGGCAATTATCAAAGTGGCAAAATAAGACAAATATTGGCTAGTCATCATTATTAAGAAATTTTATTGTTATTTTTGTAACGGTAATTGAAGAACACAGAGGAAAAGGGGAAAATTTTAAATTGAATTGACATATCAAAAATAATTTATAAGATCTTTGTCTCATCAATTGACGTGGGGAATCTTGCTCAGTTGGTCATAACATCGCCTTATTAAGGCAGAAGTTGCAAGTTCAAGCCCAGCCATTGCATTCAACTTAAGTGAAAGCAACTAATGAGCGTAAAGGTGAAATGACTTTTAAGTACTTCTCAAGTCTAAGAATGAATATTCAACTTTGTCTTTTTTCTTTCCTTTATGGGTTGCTAGATTCACGACAAACCAAATAACACAAAGTCCAACCTACCTCTACAAATAACATATCGTTAAGTTTGTCTTCTGTCATTTTTTCCCTTCTGGGGTTGATGGATATATGATGGATATATATATGACAAAACAAATAAGCACCAAGTTCAATTCACACCAAAAAGGGCAAAGTTCAATACAAATAAAATCATCATTGGGGGTGCGTGACAACAAATCACCAGCTCGAGTAGTTCGGTCAAAAAAACTCATGAGCTTTCAATATATATATTAATATATAAGTGGAAGGTGTTGAATCCAAAACTTATCGCTTGCATTCCCTCCTTTGGCACTATTTAATTCATCCCTCCTCCATATATATATATATATATATATATATATATATATATATATTATTTATTTATATTATATTTTTATTTATTATAATGAAATGTTGATTATATATATTTTTTAAATTATATGTAAAATATAAATTTTTATTAGGTGAGCTAAATTAAGTTTAATTGAATTCGATTAGGCTAGACTTGATTGAATTCAAGGTCGAGTAAAGTGAATTAAAGTCAATTTGACTTCTAAAATCTCAACGAATAAAAAGTAATAGTTAGCATGCAAACACCACAAATTCTGTGGCACGATTCAAATTCAACATCCAGCTTACCATTTGAAACAATAACAAGTGAATAAAATTAAACCAACAGCCAAAAAAACAAATGAAAAAACTCCAGCCTGGTACAGAAGCCATCATCAGATGTATGATTTCTGGTTTCTGATGGCCTGAAATTGACATTCTTGGTGGTTCTATTGCCTATTTCTTAGTTGTATTATTAGTCAGTGAGCTACACACTAGTTTCTAGTTCACAAGAATCGTCCCAATGAGATATTTAAGCATTTTTGTGCTGTGCCTGATAATTTGCTCTGCAAATCAAATAATTACTTTAATTCTTTAAAAAAAAAAAAAAAAAAAAAAAAAAAAAACTCCAGCTAGCTCCACACGCAGGTGAAAACTGCACCTCCGTGGGCTGGCTGGCTGGAGACTTGAATCATGGCCGCTGTCTCTACAGCCACGGAGGCCATTGAAACTCCTCGACATCGTTGAAGGAAGCGTGGACTACAAAGGCCGTCCGGTCAAGCGATCCAAATCCGAACGATGGAGATAACTAAATCAGGTTTGTAACAAAACTAATTACCTTTTTAGTTAATTGTTTACAACTTCTAATTTGGAATTTAAGACGCCACCTGTGACTATACCATATTAAAATCTAAATCAATTTCAAATATCATTTTAAATGTATATAGATAATCAGGGATCAAGTCTTTCCTGAATCTATCTATTCTTATCCTAGGAAAAGGCAAGAGATATTTATTCGTCTAGTTGAACTAGTAACAAAGACTTTCGAGCTTCCCTTATCCTTCACGGAAGTACATATATCATTTTCAGGAAAGAGGCAAAGAAATTCCTCTGGCCAGTCTGGAAGTGAATGATTTTTCAATCACGTGGTTGGAGTTAACTACTTTCCATATTTTCAAAAACCAGGTCATGAAAAATGATTACCTAGAATTAAAGCTGGATTAGTATTGGAGTTTAAGTTGCAATCATGACCTTTTTGAATCAACTAATACCGTTAACTGAATATTTATAAGACTTTGCAAATGAGATTAGTTGTGGAACAAAATTTCTCGGGATTTAGAGTGGGCAGAAGTGCATGAATATTAACTTCTTAACTCCTAGAATAAATAAGGTTTGACTAGGTGATATGGAAAAATACAATGGCCTGGGATAGTACTTTTTATCACAAAACCTTTGAGTTTGGATCAAGTTAATGCTCTAATTCATTATTGCATATCCAACTAAGTATATTTAGTCAGAGGATCTAATCTTAAAAAGGATAATTAAGATTGAATTTCTGGCTGCTTCTCATAGCTAACTCTCTTGCACCAAGGAGTAATTTCGAAGTATTAGTTGTACTTTGACCATTCAAACAAAGCATATCGAGGGAGGCATTATAAGTAGCAATTCTTGGATTCAAAATCTCCTATTTATAAAATAAATAAATAAAAAGCCATATCATTAGAATCTTTTGGAAGTTCTCGATATTACTTGGAGGAAGTTCAAAAGAAAAAATCATTATATCTAGAATTACATGGATTTCAAGAACAACTTCATGACCTTTCCAAACTTTTTACCATCAAAGTAAAATTTTAATCAGGAAATCAAAGCTGATAGAAGACCTTTCCAATTGGTATACACCTTTCTTTTTTATTTTTATTTCTGTAGGAACAGGAAGGGAAAACCAATATTGAATACTTAGAATATTAGCCATAAGAAGAGATAGGCTTATAAATTTGGTGCAACATGCTCTCCTACAATACAAATCAAGTGGTAACAAATCTAAAATTTCATGCAAAAACATGGGCCACCTTGTTACATCGTAGACTATGTGCCCAAACCAATTTTCATTAAGAGAAACAAAAGTGCCCATTCAAGGTTCGAACATTTTCCAGTGAAGGACAAAGCCAAGGAGAAATAATCATATTGTTTGGGCCATAACATTGAGGAGAGGGGCCGCCCACCGGCAGGGGGAGATTAAAGAAAAAGAAAAATTAAAAAATTAAAAAAAAAAAAAGAGTTCAGCTAGATAAATGCATGTACCTACTTGTTGAGGAAGGATTCATCTTGCTGACTTAACTAAGCATGAGAAGTCACTAATTAACCAACCTGCAGACCTAGTTGTCCAGTACTCTAATTTTCTTCAACTAATTAATAGAGATAAGCTTGGTGACTTGTCAAATGAAATATGCCTATATATAGCTTCAAATCTTTGCCCAAATCCCTCAAACCATCAGCCAAAGAGTTAGCGTAAGAAATACTAGATCTCATCCCTCATAATCATTGCCACAATGGCACTACTTTTATCCCCTGCTGTCGCTTCTGATCCTAGCCCTTTGGAGGATTTTTGTGTTGCAATCAATGATCCCAATACTGATAGTAATTCCTTACAACTATAGAACATGTTGTTGATCGACAAATTTTTGCAAATATACAAGGTCAATCGTAGTAATAAAATGATTTGGAATATTCCAAGAGTTGAATCTAGAGGGAGGAGTTAATTTTTCTACTTTAATTACTATGAAAAATAATAAATTTAAATTTAAAAAGGTTTTTAACTACTAATTAAGAAATTAAATAGATAACCAAACCAAACAGCGTAGTGGTAAGAAAACAATTGGCAAAACTCAGGGTTCAGATTTTTGATCCAGAGTTAGAATTACAATCCAATTAATTTATGGACATACCAAGAGCGTATCACCCAAAAGTATATTAAATTATCTCTTGATATATATAAATTGTGCCTAATTCAATCTCACGTATTTTTCAAGATCATATATATTTAATTAAACCCTTTAAAATCTTAGATAATTTAATTATATCATACAAACCTTGACCTATTCTCATGATTAGGTTAAATATATCTATTTATCTAGTGCACGGTTATATAAACCTTTTCAATTCAATACAAATTTTAAGAGCAAATCTCTGATGGCTGGACACAAACATGTAATTAAATCAAAATAGATAAACCAAGGTAAAGGTATAGAATTTAAGTTGGCTAAATAATCAAAACTCCTTCACAAAATCCTAACCCTAGATATAGATTAGTTCATAATAGTAAGAGTAAACAAGAATTCAATATTGAAAAATACAAAACTTAAAATAAGGAGCATGTAGAACTTCCCAGTTGATGACTGGCAAAAAAAAATTCTACTCAAGCATTCCATTAATAAATTGGTATCGTAAATCACTTTCCTAATGCGCGTTATCTTTGGTTCATGCATGGACTCGGATACTTCTCTAGTAAAAAATTGTGTATTTCCAAAAGAAAATGCTCTCAAGTCAAATATATCCATTGTCGGCTTCTTGGCGTGGAAAATCCATATTCCGAATTCAAGGTGGAAAAAAATAAAGTCCAGTCCCAAGTTCCCATAGAATTGGATCTATACATGCACAACAACAACGATGTGCCTTTGCGAGATTAGGAAACATCAGAAACCAACGCTTGCTAAATTCGCTGGCATTCCCCAAAAGAAAAGAAAACATGAAGCCGATTTCATTCTCCAAAGATGCATAGGATTTGGTAGCTCCTTTCTATGTATATATAAAGGTACTCTTTCCCCAGTTTTCTTCACATAGTAGTACTTTTCATCACAGCAGTAGCAGCGGCAGGAGAAGAAGAAGACCAATCCATTGAACCAAAGTCTCTCAAGTGTTTTACAATGTCGGTGTTTCATCCATCCGTGGAAGTGGAAGTTATCTGCGCCGACTACTTTGGCGACGAACTTGTGTTGCCTCTGCCCAAGGTTAATAACAAGATGGATAGCTACAAAAGCAGCGGGAAGAATACCACAGCAAGGGTAGCTGGAAAACCTAGATCTAAAATTTCTTGGGCTTTCTTGTCCGATCTCAACATCAGCTTTGAACTTGAACCAGTTGGATCGCAGATCTGAGGGAATAGATATGCACAGATATCTATGGAACAGTTCGTTCAATTGGTCAGATTTGATGATTTGTGATTCACAATATAATTTTTTATATTCTGTAACTCTATTAAATCTTATGATTTTTCAGATCAAATATATTTGTGATATTTTCAATGCATTTTCTGCCATTAGTGCAGATTACTTTATCAAGCAAATCGTGTTGGACGATTTCCAGCTGGATGATTAATAATATTGACTTATGTTTTATCAAAAAAAAAGGCCTGATTCACTTCCAATTTAATGTTAGGAAGATGAATGCTGTTGCATTTGCTGGTTTCAGCAGCCAAAATCCACTAGTCAATACTATTGCAAATGCAGTCTTTGGATCAAATCCTCCCATTTCTCTGGATGTTCTCACTAAGGCGTTGCTGCTTGACAATAAAGTCATTGACTTACTTGAGGCATGGTTTTCTTGAGACAACTCGAAAGGATCCATGGATTTGTTCTAAATAAAAATTGACAGGTTGTCGAGCCTGTATAATAATAATTACCTATACAAGAAAAATACAAATTTTGTATATAGCGATGAGTAGAGTCGAATCCACGGGGATTGAGGATAATTCATTTCTTCTAGAGTTCAGAATATGGGGGATTTTTGAAAAATATAAAATAACTAATTAACCAACTAATAAAACAACTAACGGAAATAAATAGGAATTAATCAATAACAAGTACGACTCTAGCGAAATGTACAACTTTTCAGACACGATTCATTCAACTGATCATCGATGCAATGATAATTCAATTACTCATTAATAGATTGATTATAGTTGCCATACATACGATAGACAACCAACTTTTTCTTACTTTTTCGATAATCAAGGTACGAGCGTTAACTATTTCCCTAACCAAGAAATAATCCTAGGTACGACCGTAGGATTCAATTCCTCAATTGCATTAAGAATTAGAAAAGTCCAACCCTAATCAACAAACACGTTACGAGGGTTTGTTTAAATTAGATCATACGTTTTCCTAACATGGGGCCAATCACGCTAGTGGCCAATGGTATTAACCAATCAAACAATTACGAATTTAACCGGTTAATTTGGCAATAGATTTTTTTTTCAAGAAAAATATCACATGACACTTGCTATATTCTAACTCTACGAAAGTTTGGAAATCCCAATTGATGAAGAGCAAAGTCACCTCTCACCTAGCGAGGCAGTTCACAGAATGATTCATAAATCGAAGTAATTCGCGATTCCATTCCAATGTTTGCAAGACGGTCAGCAGGTTCCCATGAATGATCATCAAACCCTTTCGTGTACCAGGACCTTCATACTATCAAGCAACTGGTACGAGTGCACCATCACCTGTATCTGAAGCAATAAATCTATCTGTTACTTCTTTCTAAAGAATCACGAATTAGCCAACCTCCTAGGTTAACCTACTTTCCTCCACCTGAGGGAAGGCATGCCTAACCTGTCTATGCGAATTTCCCCTTGCGTCTGTCTTGGAATTGCATTGAACTCATCATAAATGGTGACATTCCGGTTATGGCTGGACGCACCCACCTTTGCCAGACTGTCCGCCACCTTATTTACTTCTCTGTAGCATTGAGAAAATCGCGCCACATCGGTAATCATGCCCCAAATTTGGTCTACCTCCCGTCGTATCACCCACGGGCACTGGAGCCGCCGTTGAAGAATCCCAACGAGAACTAGAGAATCAACTTGAATACTTACATTGGTAAACCCCTTTTGAACGCACAAATGAAGCCCCATTGCCAAGGCCAATGCCTCTGCGCGCAAACTCGAAAGTTCCCCAAAGTAAGTTGAGAACGCAAACAATGGTAATTTTGATGAATCACAAAGTATTCCCCCACCACCACTCACTCCTGGATTTCCCTTGGAGCATCCATCCGTATTGCGATTGAGACACCAGGTGAAAACTATAATGCGATGGTTGTTGAGTTGTCCACTCATATAGCTAAAGAAATGTGTGCACCCCAAGCCTCTGGTTAAACTGAATCTCAACCACCCCTATCACATCTAAAAAAATGGCATGACAAATCCTCGCCACTGGCTTCTGCCTTCCTTCGTAGTATGCAACGTTCCGAGCCTTCCAAATATGCCAACATATAAAACTGGGAAGAACCGAGAAGAGGAACCTTCTTACCGCATGCCGAGGGGAGAACGGCCACCAAGCCGTTAGCCATGCCCATAGTGACGAGCCAAGTTGTGTTACCCCACAAATCCTGCCAAAATAACTCCAGACACCCTTTGCAACTTGACCCTCCGCGAACACATGCTCCAGTGTCTCAATCGCACCCTCCTGGCAACACAAGCACTTTGAAGCCAATTGGACTCCAACCCTCCGCAAGACATCAGTTAAAGGCAATTTTTCCAACAATAAACGCATCATGAAGAATGGAACTTTCAACGGAATCCGAGAATGCCATACCTGAGAGTGTAAGACGAGGTAATTCCGAGCCTGACAGACCTCCTGAAATGTCGATGCCAACGTGAATTTTCCCGAATCCGTCTGGCTCCATACCACCTCGTCTCGGCGATCTCCGTTTGGGACTAGGTGTTGTAGAATTAGAGGGATGAGTTCTTGCGGTATATATTGCCTTAGCATAGCACCGTTCCATTCCCCATTAGTGAGGAATCCTTGAAGGAGAGGATCGGGTTCACCATAGCTTTCAAACATAGAGCTCTACTTCCCAACCAGTTGTCAACCCAAAAATTACATGACCTCGCATTCACCACCCATAACATGGATAACTCCACCTGTCGGCTTATATTTAACATTCGTCTCCACGTCGATGAGTTAAACCAACGCAATTCCACCTGGCACGGATGAAGGTCCCTGCAGTATTTAGCTCACATAAACTGTGCCCAAAGCGACTTTCCAGTCCGAAAAGTCCACCACAATTTACAGGAAAATGCCGAGTACACATCTTGTAGCTTTCTGAAACCCACTCCCCCCTCCTCAACCGGAAGACATAACTGAAACCATCTAATCTAGTGAAACTTTGTCCCTTCCCCTGCTGATCCCCATAGAAAATTCGCACAAGCCTGCTCTATTCGATTGAAAATCGAGACGGGACATACCGCAGCTGATAGTAAGTGAACTGGGATGGATGCGAGCATATGCTTTATCAAGACTATTCTCCCTCCCAGGGATATCAATCTTGACTTCCAAGACATAATTCGAGCCAGCACCGCTTGACACACCTCTCCAAAGTAAGCTGACTTGCTCATTCCCAGATACAAAGGAAAGCCAAGATAACGAATGGGCAACTCCTGTCTAGTGAATTGCGTAATCCGCTCAATCACTCTTCTCCGAGCTGGTGGTAAAATCGGATGAACCAAGAATCCACTCTTTTGAGCATTGACCAATTGTCCTGAGGAAAGCTGATACGCCTCGAGCACCTACATGGTTCGTTTTAAAGCAGCAATAGACCCATTGGTAAAAATCATTACGTCATCAGCAAAAGCTAGATGCGTGATGACGGGACAGCCCATTGGGACTCGAAACCCTACAAAACTGTGTTGTGATGCTAGAGAATTCAGCCCTCGTGACAGCATTTCCGAACCAATAATAAAGAGCACTGGAGATAGTGGATCCCTTTGTTGTAACCCCCTGCTAGATTTGAAGTATCCATGCGATGTTCCATTAATTACAATTGAAAATCACACGTAAGAAATAAGCCACCAGACCAGATCTATAAATCGCTCTCCAAAACCAAATGCTCGCAACATGGTAATAATATGTCTCCAAGACATCTGATCATATGCCTTACTCATATCCAGTTTTAGGGCAACATTCCCCCCTCTTGCCTTCTTTCCTATGGTGGATATCAACTCCTGAGTTAGCAAGTAATTATCTGTTATGTTTCTGCCTTTGACAAACCCCATCTGTTGGGGCGAGATAATTCTCGGTATAACAGAGCCCAGCTGCCCCACCAAAATTCTGGATAATAATTTGTTGAAAAAATTGCAGAAACTAATCGGTCTGAATTTAGAGAAATCCTGGGGATTCGAAACTTTAGGTAGCAAAACAATTGAGGTGGAAGTAATAAACCTAGGTAACTCACTTCCACAGAAGAAATTGACCACCGCTCTGTGCAGGTCCTAAGCAATGATATCCCATGCGAACATGAAGAACTTCCCTGTAAACCCGTTCGGACCCGCAGCATTCTCCCCGTCCATGGTGAACACTATACGTCGAAGCTCCTCCAAGTCAGGCACTTCTGCCAACAATGCGTTCTCCTCACTTGTGATCATTGACGGAATTAAATGCACTAAATCCCCCGGACAAGAGTCCATGGACCCCGAAAATAGGCCAGAGAAGTACTCAACCACCTCATGCGCTATGTCATCATCCTTGTCCACCCACTCGCCATACGAATTTTTCACCCTGTGTATCGCCCCCTGTACTCTCCTCTGCTTGACCACTGCATGAAAATACCTTGTATTCTGATCCCCACTATTGAGCCACTTGACCCTTGATTTTTGCCTCCAAAATTGTTCTTGAATTGCCAATGCCCTATTCAACTCCACTTGTGCCTTGTGAAGCTCCTCGCGACCCTCAACGGAATCATAATGTTCCCCCCCCTTCCTGTGTCCGTGCAAGCCCAGACTCAGCATCCGCAACAGTAGTACTTATATTTCCAAAGTGCTGCTTATTCCATTGCTGAATCGCCCGACGGGTAGCCAACAACTTTGAGCACAAAATTCGTAACAGTGATCCTTGAATTTCTGTGCTCCAGGCCGTTCTAACTACATTTAATAACTCTGGCTTGGATGTCCATACATTTAAGAAGCGAAACGGTCGCGGCCTATTGTCTAGCCTCGAAGCAAACGAGATTCTCAGTGGGGCATGGTCAGATGGATGTCTAGGTAAATGAACTACTAAAATCGCCGAGGCCAACTCAGTACACTTCCCATTAATGAGCAATCGGTCTAGTCTCTTCCAAATTCTAGCCATTCCCCTCCGATTGTTGCACCATGTAAAACTGGACCCTAAAAAACCTGCATCAAACACCTCAGCCTCCTCTATGAAGGCCAAAAATTCAATACCCTTTGCAACCGAGAATGGTCTCCCACCTCGTTTTTCATGAGCATCTATAATAACATTGAAATCTCCCCCAATACACCAAGGCAGGGAATAAGGTTTGTCAGCTAAAAGTTTTTCCCATAAATCCTGACGTCCCTCCACCGAACACAAAGAATGAACAAATGAGAAAATCATTGGCCCCGACAACCACGGGTGTTGAATAGATAGGGAAATATGCTGATTAGGATTACCAACAATGGAGCAAACAAAAGGGCAATTATAAAAAATCCAGAGATCTTCCGAAACATTAATAATTGCATAGTCAAAAGATAACCTCATGCGAATGGACTCAACTCGAGATACATCTAATTTTGGCTCAGAGAGTGCGACAAATTGAACACCATGCATGCGA